GGAGTCCTGGCTCCCTGTTCTGCTCCATAGACCCCACTCCCCTCCCCAGGAGTCCTGGCTCCCTGTTCTGCTGTTCTAACCCATAGACCCCACTCCCCTTCCCTCCCCCCCCAGGAGTCCTGGCTTCCAGCCTCCAACCCCATCCTCAGTGTCCACATTCCACTGCTTCCGCCTCCCGGTGCTGCTCACTCATCATCCCCAACGGCGTGGCTAGAGGGAGAAGGCCCACGAATGGCTGGTACCTGGGGTGCAGGTGGCCACTGAAGCCCCAGATGTAGGCAAACACGAAGATGCTGCGGACGAGCAGGTGGTGATGGGGTGGGACAGCTTCATCCAAGCCCCAGTGTGAAGGGGCAGCTGAGACCCCAGCACCGCTGGTCTCAGCCACTGGGGAGAGAAAGTCAGTCACCCAGAGGCAGGGGACCCCAGCCTGGCCTGGCCTAGTGATAGCAGACCCCAGCCTGGGCCTGGCAGATGCTGCAGAGCTCCGAGTAGGCCCAGGGTCCAGACTGGCCCTGTCTCAAGCATTCATGGGCAATGACCCGCCAAGGAGGATCCGTGCCAGTCACCCAGGACTCCCTGGACGGTGAGATCCTGCCCGCCCAACAGAGAGCCCCGGGCAGCCTCCGCCATCAGGCCCCTTCCCTGGAGCTCTGCCCCTGCTCAGACCCCGGGGTGCCCAGAATGGGGGAACTCGGCTGGTCAGGATCAGCAGCACTGGGGACTGGTTCTAATCTGGACCCTGTAAGAGCAGGGGGGCACAAGGTCATTGGTCCTGCTGGGATTCCCCTCACCTGCCTGGTCCTCCCTTCTCAGGGGCTGGGCCTTCGCCTTGTCATGGCTCAGGTGTTGGTCCAGCAGAGCCTTCAGGAGCCTGGTGAAGGCTGTGGTCTCTGGGATGCCCCAGGCCATGGGGCTGCGCAGGTCGGCGTGAGGCTGCAGCACAGAGCTGCAATGCTGCTGCAGGAAGGTGAGCGTGGGAGGGAAGACATCCTCAGCGAGGCCACGCAGCATGACCACGCTCTCCTGGCTCACGCTGTACGTGTGGTAGATGGTGGCTAGGGATGAGGCCAGCAGTGCTCGCCAGACACACGAGCCCCCACAGTGCAGGAGGGTGCAGTGTGTGGAGATGGACGGTGAGATGCTGGAGGCATCAGGCAGCTCAAAGAGGAACTTCACACCCTCTGGGGGATGGAGCCGCTGCCCGTTTGGCAGGCTGAGAGTGGGCTCTGCGCTGAACAGCGACGAGATGGGATCCAGCCACTCGGAGCTGACAGACCCGTCCAGCACCAGCCATTGCTGGGTGCCTGACACGGCCAGCCCAGCCGCAGGGGCTGAGGAAGCCATTCTCTGCAGGAGCCTGGAGAAAACGCCCTCCCTCCAGATGCCTCCCTCAAGCCTGCCCAGGAATTCAGCGGTGCTGAGGCTGTTGGGGCACAGGCAGACAGTGCTGATGGGCAGGTATGCCACGTCCTTCCGAGTGCCTGGCCTGCCCGCTCCTGGCGCCAGCTCCAAGGACGCACTCACAGCCAGCCTGCTCAGCACCTTAGCCAGGGTCTTCCAGGCTGTGGTCTTGCCGCTGCCAGAGGGCCCCACCAGCAGGACCCCCGGTGAGCCCAGCAGGGCCTGGCAAAGCTGCACTATGGTGCTGGTGAGCTCGGGGTCTGCGTGGAGCTTGTCCTCGTGCAGCTGCGCTGTCACAGCACTCAGCAGCCTGGGGGGCGCATGGGCCTCGGGGACCAGGGAGCAGGAGGCAGGGAAGACCCCTCGGAGCAGCTCCCACACTCGACTCAGCCGGGGGTCCTCCAGGGCAGACAAGAAGGGCGAGAGGCAGAGAGCTTGGATGAGGGCAGGCTCCTCAGCCAGGCTCTCGAAGGACGACTGCTGGGCTGTGAGCTGCTCCCCGGGCTCTGGCTCTGGCCTCACCACAGGTGGATACACAATGCCAATGGCTGCCTCAATGACCCCCTTGAACAGGGCCAGCCGGCTGGGTGCAGGGCCCGGGCCCAGCTCCCCCTCCAGCCAGAAGAAATAGCTCAGCTTCTTGGCCAGGTGTGCTGCTTCCCGGAAGCCAGCTGCCAGCAAGGTCACCTCGGCCACCTTGTGCAGGTCGGGGGGCAGCAGGGCCACGGGGCGAAGGGCCAGGCGCAGGAGCTCAGGGAGACGCTGCAGGGTGGCCAGGCAGCCGTAGGTCTCCCTGACCCGCAGCAGCCGCTCCCCGAAGAGGATGTTGCCCAGCACGCGGGGCTGGTACGGCTCAGCTTCATTCAGGCCCAGCTCTGGCAGGGTCCTTGCAGGCTGCTCCTGCCCCTCCCCGTCCCTGCTCTTGGATTTGTGGCTGGGGCTCACCTGGCCCGTCTCCACCTGCAGGCCCATGCAGAGCATCTGCAGGTCTGACAGGAGCTGGCTGAACCCTGACAGGACACCGGGCCCCAGCTGGTCCACTGCCTCCAGCAGCAGCCAGGCCCCGGCCTGCACAGCCCCACTCAGGTGTTGGCGGAGGAGGCCAAGGCCCATCTGCTGGGAGCAGTGCAGGGTGACGAGCTGGCGGCCCAGAGCCCTGGCCAGGTGCTGCATGGTGGCCGTCTTCCCGACCCCGTGGCAGCCCAGAGCCGCACCACAGCGGAACTCCTCCAGGGCAAGCAGTAAGCCCAAGAAGCTCCTCTCCAGCTGAGGGCCCCCCACCAGGTGGGGGCAGTTCCCCACATACTCATAGCCATAGTGCAGGTGGATGTCGAGGACCTCGGCCCAGCAGCCGGGGGGGCTGGCGGCCCAGCTCTCAAGGGGGGCCCCGACTGCCCTGGCACTCTCAGGGTGCAGGACCAGCCGGTACTTGAGCAGCTGGGCCCAGGCAAAGGCGGTGGGTGAGTCGACCTTGCGCTGCAGCAGGTGGGCCAGCACGTCGCGCTGGCGCACGGTGACCGTGAGCAGGGCCCCCAGCAGGGTGCTGAGCTGCCCGCTGCCCGGCTGCCCGGCCTGGCTGCTGCGGTAGTTCCGGACATAGTGGGCCAGGGCCTCCAGCTTGAGTCGGTGCTTGAGCTTGAGGCCAAGCCTGCGCACGGGGCCGAAGAGCCGCTCCTGCACATCCGCAAACCACAAGGCCTCCTCGGCCAGCAGCACGCACTGGGCCGGGAAGCTTGTTGCCAGCTGCCCCCAGTGCTCCACCAGCAGGTGCAGCGGCAGCTCGGTGGGACCTGGGTGGTGCTCGAAGGCCACGTCGAGCTGGGGCCGCAGAGCCAGGCGCTGGGCCATGCATGCCTGCAGCAGGTGGAAGAGGGCCTCCTTCATGCGCTGCTCCAGGGCGCACAGCCATTTAGTGACCTTCTGGTTGAGGAGCAACGGGGAACACAACGGCACCGTCTCCCCACAGGCTCCCACCAGGCCCGTGGCCTCTGCCCTGGGCAGCAGGACAGCATAGGTGGCAGGGTCTCGAGTGGCCGAGGGCTCACGGAAGGCCAGCTGGTGCACAGTTGGGAAGCAGCGGCGGGCCCAGGTGGTCACCTCCATGGGCTCCGCAGGTGAGGCCATCATAGCCACCACCTCTGTGTTGCTGAGGAAGAAGAGGCGGGGGAAGCCCATGCGCGTAGCCTCCAGCACGTACTCCAGTGCGTGGATGATGCGCTGCAGGTCCTCAACCCCCTCGCTCAGCATGGTCTGCAGGGGCACACCCATAAAGCGGCTTTCCCGGTTGGAGGTGGCCATAGGCATCATGCTGGATAGCACCAGGGGGTGCTTGGACGTCACCTGCATGAGCTCCCGGAACCTGCTGTCCAGCTTCTGGAACAGGCAATCCTGGCGCGAGGAAAGCAAGCATCAGCCCTGCAGAAGGGAAGCCCCAAGAGGCAGGGAATGGAGGCAGTGAGGAGGGGAGGGAGGACTCACTGGCTCGGGGCAGGGGCATGTGGTGGGGCAGACGACTCACCAGCTCGCTGCTGGGCAGGCTGATGTCCATCTCATACAGCACTATATTCAGGAAAATCCACTTCTGCTGGAAACTGACCCAGACATCCAGCAGGGCTCCTGTGGAGAGAGGAGTCTGGGGGTGAGCATTCCTGGGGTGCCCTCCAGGGCACTGGCCCAGGTACCCTGTGAGAGTATACAAACCCCACACTGGAGAGGAAGGGGCTAAGGAGCTGCTCTCGGCCCAGGTGGCCCTACCCCACCGCACCTGCAAAGCCGACACAGGCTGGAGGTGAAGCTTACAAAGCTTACAGTGGTAGGCAGACAGTTGAGGGGAACCTGCACCGGAGCTCTTGGGAAGGAACACCACAGGAGCTCTTGCTACCTGAGGCCTGGCACTAGTGGCCTGTCCAAGCCCACAGAGGAGGGACTGGTGACTCTCTGAAGGCACAGACTTTATCTTGGTGGTTAGTTATTTACTTTATCCAGTGGGAAGAGACAGGACTTGTAGGGAGGGAGCCGCACAGCACCTGAGGGTGCAGGACTTAGCTGCCTACTGTGATGAAGTGGGACTGTTCTTAATGTTTCCTCTGAATACTGTGTGGGTGCCTCAGTTTCCCCTATGCATTTCTTAAGTCTCTAGGTGGTGGGATAAAGGCCAGTGTGCATAAATCACTGACACTCTGTCTCCCTGGCAACTAATGGCCAGGCCTTCGCCCCTGCAAGGAGATGCTAAAGGTGTGGGAGAACAAAGAGGTCAGGTGACCTCCTGGACCGGGAAAGGAACTCAGCAGAGAGGAGGGGCTGGAGGGGGTTTCAGTTTGGAGCTGGCTGGGGATGGGGAGTGAGGGCAGACGGGGGTGTCTGGCTCGCGGGACCCCAGAATGGACCCAGCTGAGGGGTCCCGTTCTCTGTACCTACAAGCTCTGTTTTAGACCATGTTCCTGTCATCTAATAAACCTCTGTTTTACTGGCTGGCTGAGAGTCACGTCTGACTGCGAAGTGGGGGTGCAGGACCCTCTGGCTTCCCCAGGACCCCGCCTGGGTGGACTCGCTGTGAGAAGTGCACGGAGGGGTAGGGGATGCTGAATGCTCCAAGGGCAGACCCAGGAGGTGAAGCCGTGTGAGCTTCTTGCCCTGAAGGCGGTCTGCTCCGAGGGAGAGGAGGCTCCTCAAAGTCCTGACTGGCTTTGTGGGGAGCAGCTCCAGAGCATCGCCTGGGGACTTCGTGACACCTACCACTGGCATTGGACCAGAGACAGGTGGGTCTGGGCTCCCCTACTAACCCCTAAAAAGTGATAACAATGGAAGTCTATCCCTCAGTGGGGAACCGAGATGGGGAAGGACATTGAAGGTACAAGGGTCTGGACCATGAGACCCCAACCCAAAGGGGAAACCCTGAATCCCTCACTTGCCCTGATGACTCCCCAATACTGGACTCTGTATATATACACCCCGAAAACCATGGAACTGAAAACATGACCTGGCCGCAGGGCTGACTCACTGAGGTATGTTGCAATGTACGCCCAGGCTCAGATAAGATCTCAGGATAAACTTCCTCACTGTAAGACAAGGGACCAGAGGCCTATGGAGGTTGTGGAAGCTCCTTCACTGGAGGTTTTCCAAAGGAGGCTGGAGCCATCGGTCTTGGATGGTTTAGACCCAACAAATCCTTCATCTTGACAGAGGATTAGACTAGCTGACCCTTGCGCCGTGGCCCCGTCTAACCTTATGATTCTATAAAACCACTGCCAACTGCACACTCCTGGATGTCGACTTACCACGCCACACTGGAACCCATACCGGGTATCATCAAATAATTACAACCCATACTTGATGGGACCACATCCTGAAAGAAATCTTTCCTGAACCCCCTCTTCTGATTAGGCCCCAACTGGAGTATTGTGTTCAGTTCTGGGCGACACATTTCAGGAAGGATGTGGACAAATTGGAGAAAGTCCAGAGAAGAGCAACAAAAATGATGAAAGGTCTAAAAAAGACGACCTATGAGGGAAGATTGAAAAAATTGGGTTTGTTTAATCTGGAGAAGAGAAGTCTGAGAGGGGACATAACAGTTTTCAAGTACGTAAAAGGTTGTTACAAGGAGGAGAGAGAGAGAAAAATGTCTTAACCTCTGAGGATAGGACAAGAAGCAATGGGCTTAAATTGCAGCAAGGGAGGTTTAGGTTGGAAAAACTTCCCAACTGTCAGGGTGGTTAAGCACTGGAATAAATTGCCCAGGGAGGTTGTGGAATCTCCGTCATTGGGGATTTTTAAGAGCAGGTTGGACAAACACCTGTCAGGGATGGTCTAGATAATAATTAGTCCTGCCTTGAGTGCAGGGGACTGGACTAGATAACCTCTCGAAGTCCCTTCCAGTTCTATGATTCTATGATTCTGGCCTTCAAACAACACAACCTCTCCAAGCATCAGCAGCAAGTTCCTCATAGACCAGGACACACAACTCAATGCGGCAGCAAACCATGCCAGAACAATAGATGCAAAACCTGGAGACATATCTCCACTGCTATGATGATCAACCCCTCCTCCCCCCCACCCCCAGCAACACATCTTTCAAGATCCATGGGCCCTACACATAAATGCCCCAATAACAACTATGTGGGTGAAACCAGGCAACCAATACATCTTGAATGAACTCACACAGGAAAATGATAAAAAACAAAAACACCCTATCACCTGTGGATGAACACTTTTCACGAAGTGGTCACTCTTTATCTGACCTCTCAGTCCTCAGCCTCAAAGGAAACCTGCACAACACCTTTCAAAGACGAGCCTGGGACTTAATTCATAACTTTGCTAGACATTAAAAATCATGGACTGAACAGACACTGGATTTATGACATATCACAGTGGATATATGTCTACAATCTATAACCCACTAACCTCCACCCAGCTTCCTCCACCACACACCACTGGAGAGATGTTAACGGGCCACTTCACCTTGAATGGTCCCTTGAAATATGTGTTAACTCCTTATGCTAAACAATCTGTTCTACCTTATATTTAGCTGTGATGCTCTTAGCACTTTTTCCAGCCCTGAAGAAGAGCTCTGTGTAAGCTCCAGATGACAGGAAGCTAGCTAATGTAACGTCAATTTTTAAAAAGTGCTCCAGAGGCAGTCCTGGCAATTACAAGGCTGTGAGCCTAACTTCAATACCGGGCAAGCTGGTAGAAACCGTAGTAAAGAACAGAATGATCAGACACCTTGGGGAAGAGTCAACATGGCTTTTGTAAAGGGGAATTATGCCTCACCAATCTACTAGAATTTTATGGATAAGGGTGATCAAGTCATACAGTGTACCTGAATTTTCAGCAAGCCTTTGACAAGGTCTCTCACCAAAGGCTCTTACTTTCTTTAAGTGGTCATGGGAGTTGCCTGAGTTGCCCTGAACAGACTTTAGACCCATGCAGGCAGAATCTACCCTGAACCACAGTGTGGCTTCAGAGCTGAAAGGTCTGCTATCGACATGATCTTCTCGCTGAGACAACTACAAGAGAAATGCAGAGAACAAAAAAGCCCCTCTACATAACCTTCATTGATCTCACAATGGCTTTTGACCTTGTCAGTAGAAGTGGACTATTCGCACTTCCAGAAAAGATTGGATGTCCCCCCAGGCTCTAGAGAGGGAGGTGGGGAAGAGGGGGAACGCGGCACACTCGGGGAAGAGGCGGGGTGGGGGCGGGGATTTGGGGAAGGGGTCCAATAGGGGCAGGGAGGGGGCGGAGACTTTGGGGAAGGGGTTGGAATGGGGGCGTGGAAGGGGCGGGGGGGTGAGGCAGGGGTGGAGTTGGGGTGGGGGAAGGGTGGGGGGTTGAGCACCCACCGGCACCGGGAAAAGTTGGTGCCTATGCAGCCAATTTAAACAAAATGTCTCGCGGCCCGCCAGATTACCCTGATGGGCCACGTGCGGAAGGTTGCCGACCCCTGCTCTAAGTAGAGGAAGGACATTTCAACTGGTGCTGCAGACTGCTCATAGTTCTAGGAGACTGATGTGTAGGGTGGATTCTGTGAACGACCATCTGCCCTGCACTGTGTGATCGTGGAGATGCGCTCCCCAACCGATTAGGGAGGCATCGGTTGATAGGATCATAGTCGATGTTGACTTCCACACAGACATTGTTGGGCTGTGTCCATCACAGTAGTGAGTCCTTGACTTGCATCAGCATGGATAAGAGTTTGTGGAGGCTGTGTTTGTGGGGAAGATATACTGTACGGAACCATGCCTGAAGACATTGCATGTGTTGTCTTGCATGCCTGACCACAAATGTGGCCATGTGGCCTAGAAGTTGGAGACAGGTTCTGGCAGCGATCTGAGGGCAGACCCGTGCATTGGATACCAGATCTGTTATAGCCGAGAATCTATGAAGTGGTAGGAAGGCTCTGGCTTGTATGGCATCCAATAGTGTGACGATGAATTCCAGCTGTTGTACTGGCATTAAAGTGGACTCTTCTAGATTCACGAGGAGGCCTAGTTTCATGACCAGGTCCATCGTTAGGTGGACAGCTTGGAGAGTGTCGGTTTCAGATGGGACCTTGAGGAGCCAGTTGTCCAAGTATGGATAAAGGATGACTCCTTGTTTTCTGAGGTAGGCAGCAACTACCGCCACGACCTTGGAGAACACCCGAGGCACTGTGGACAGCCCGAAGGGTAATACTTTGTACTGGTAGTGGTCATCGCCCATGACGAATCAGAGAAATCGTCTGTGGGCAGGGTGTATTGTAATATGAAAGTATGCATCTTGGAGGTCGAGGGCTGAGAACCAGTCCCCCTGTTCAGTGCTGGGATAACAGTGGAAACCATCTTAAAATGTTGCAGTTTGACAAACTTGTTTAGATTGCGAAGGTCCAGGATGGGTCGCCAGCCACTGAATTTCTTCTGGATCAGGAAATCGTGGGAGCAGAAACCCTGTCCCACATGCTGGGAGGGGACCGGTTCTATGGCTCCCAGGTGCAGAAGCGGATTTATTTCTTCCCATAGAATGGAGTTGTGAGAGGGGTCCTTGAAGAGGGATGGGGAGGGAGGGTGGCAGGTGGGATAGATAGGAAGGGGATGGAGTATTCTTCCTTGATTATTTCTAGGACCCACTTGTCTGAGGTGATGAGTCTCCAAGATGGGGAAAATGGAGCTAAACAGTCGCCAAACTGCTGGGACGTCGAAGATGGTGAGAATGACTGGAAGAGAGGAAGGCTTCTCAGGGCCTTGACTGTAGTAAGTAAAGGCCCTGATAACGGCCCAGTATGAGGCCTGAGGCCTGAACTAAAGTAATGGTCAAGACTCTGCTAACATAAAGCAAAGTTAAGCTGTGAGCAAGAGGCAGGCCCTGCTCACAGAAGCTGGCAAGGAAAGGGCTGATGTTGCATAAATATATATCCACTTAGCATAGTTACAGTATAAACATGGTACCAAGACACACTATACCGAAACATTCCACAGATAACATGGAACAGGCCGACCCATCCCAATGACAGGGGCAAAAGGGTAAAATGATGGATAGAGTTGTTTTGATCGAACCAACAGGTACAAGGTGCGAGGCGGCACCTTACTACGTAGGGAGGTTGTACCTTGCTACGTGAAGGGGTTGCACCTCAATACGTCAGGAGTGATGTGTAACTTGTTTTTACCCGTGTATAAGAATGTATCCCTGGGGTGGTGTCTTTGTCCAGCCGAGGGGGCAGTGGAAAGTCCCGCCACTGACTGAGCTGAGTCCATTGCCGAGCGGCACTTTCTAGCAGTATGCCCGGTAGACTAAGTAATCTACGGGGAACTGAAATTGTGTCAGGGTCGCAATAAACCTGGCCGAGGTGCCTTTGTACCTTACTAGACTTTGTGGTTATTGGGGGTTCTCGTCGGGTTTGCTGTGTCAGCTATCTGCGCAGAGCTGGGGCAGCACACAGAGGGAACGCACGCACGCAGCCGAGTGATATCAACAGGAGAAAGCAGAAGCACCACCCCGGTAGCATCTGACAACACCTTCAAAATTGCTGCTTCGGTGGGGATGTGTGAGAGGTAGCCCCTTGAAGAGTGGGTTGTCTACATTTGGTAGGAGACCTCTGTCTTTGGCGCTGGGTGTCATAGTGCTGTTGAGGAGTGTACTGCTGTGTTTGGGATCGTGGCGGGAGTTGGTACTTCCATGAGCGTCTCTTTGGCGCTGGTGTGTAGATGCCAAGAGATCGGAATGTAGCTTGGGAGTCCTTAAGGGAGTACAGAGAATCATCCATGTGCTCCGAGAATAGTTTCTGGCCCTCAAAAGGTAAGTCCTCTACCGTGTTTTGTACTT